TAATTAATATATACATTGATTTTAATTATATAATGAGAAACAATAATCTCCTATTTCTTATCTTATTATACTTGCATGTCATGTGATTTGAATTTAAATTCTCTTATTTCTAGTAAAAAAAAATAATCGCTGAGTTATTTACGTTATTAATAAATAGTTAATATTTTATATAAATATAATATATAAAATTTATATATAAATAAATTTTTACCTAAATAATTACTTTAACAAAATATAAAATTAATCATTTAACGTGTGAGAATAACTGCTCCCATTCAACGCACCGTGCATCGACTTGGTAAATTCAAAATCACATTTTTTTACCATTACATTACATTGAAGATACTCTCATAACAGACCAATCCAGTCCAAAATGATTGCGTACGTAGACACTAATTGGTCAAACCCCCTCTTAAGCCTTCAGATTCACGCTAAATTGACAGTCTATGAACTAAAAAAAGTGCCAAAAAACCCCCTCAAATATCTTGATTGATGTAAATTAGTCCACAAACCCCCGAAATATAAAATTCAATCCTTATTATTAATTGCTCAATGCATATAACTTTACACTATTTGTTCTTTTCTTTCCCATAAACCCACTTTTCTACATAAAAATTATCGTGAATCCTTTGGCTGGATTTTTATCATTGAATTTTAATTACTACAGCAAATATGTTTTAATTGATGGAATGACTAAAAAAAATATATTTTTCATAATTGAGGAATAAAAAGGTGCATAGAAAAGTTAAGAGACAAATTATGTAAAACCCTCAAGTTGAGGGATAGAATTCGCATTTAACCTAAGTAATTTTGGTTAGTGGCAAAATGACATTACTGGTCCTAACTTTTAGTTTTTGCACACTTTATCCTCATGTAAATTTTTTTTCTTTTTTTAAATCTACAAAGATAATATGATTGAAATTACAAAGGTACAAGGGGTACTTTAAAACTATACAATAACAATATTACAACAATTCACACATTTTTTAGCAATCCTACTAAGCAGTTAGTGCAATCAAATCAATATCTACAAGCTCATCCTCAAGATGCAATTAATGACCAATAACTAGAAATTAACATGTGATTGATCTTTGTTATTTGGTCTTAAAAGTTATAATTTCTTTCAATGATAAATTAATATAATATAATAATCAATTAATATTATTAAAGTAAAAAAATAAAGTTAAAATCAATTAGATAAGTG